GTTCTACACTATGTATTAGTTACCTGTCTCATTGCTGTGACCGAATGACAAAGCGTCGTGAAAAGGGAGGGCTCATTTTGGCTCACACCTTAGGGTACAGCCTATCACGGCAGCAGAGGCATGGCAGACAAAAGCTGTGACCCCGGCTTACGTTGCACTCACAGTCAGGACCCAGAGGACGGATGTGGCTGTTCAGCTTGCTCTTTTCTTCCTTCGGTCTTTTGGCTCCTTTTCTAGCCCCTGGCAGCTAGAAAGAGTGTATTGACTTTACAGTTTCAGAGGGTGAGTCCATGACCATCCTGGTAGGAGCCATGAAGCCAGTAGGCAGCCATGGCAGGAGCTGAGAGCGTACATGTTATGAACACCAGGGGGCAGAGAGTGAGTGTAGCGGTAAGGGCATAGGGTCTTGAAACCTCCAGGCCCCACTGACATACCTCTTCTGACCAGGCCCTGTGTCCTAATTCTTCCCAAACAGTTCTATCAACTGGGCTTGGAGCATTAAGATGGGGTCTGTGGGGGCTGTTCTCATTCAAACCACCATATTTTGTCTAGTACTTTCGGCATCGCTGAATCTAGAAAAGCCTTCTGGTAATGTCTCCAGGTGATTCTAGACCCGGGGGAGGCGGGCAACACTAACCATCCCTCCTGGCACAAACAGTAGCCGGAGGGGCTGTATCTTCTGACAAATAAGCTACCACTACATTTCAGCAGAAGAAAAGGAAAGAACACGACCTCATGTAGGTGTTTAATTGTGAGAAAAGTGATTGGGGAAGATGCTGGTAATTAAAATCTACGTGCGCATAAACGCAGAGGCAGTGTTGGTCCCATAGTTGTGGGAGAGCAAATTAACTCCCATCCTGTTTGGTGATGCTGCAGAGCATGTGACAGAGCCATGCTCAGTCTATAAATAAAATAGAAAGTTCTAGAAAGGCTTGGTGACAGCCATCTTGCTTATGGAATGGCTCTAATATTTTCTCCAGAAGCTGGGAGAGGAAGGGTTGGAATTACATGTCTGTTAGTGATGGACAATAAACCTACCAACCTGAGTATATTTGTTATGTATACAGTGAGGTGATATTTTTGATGTTTTATTAGCATATATCAATTATAGATCTTTTCTTACATGTGTGCGTTTTGATCATAGTCATTCCCCATTATCCTTTCTTGTGTCTCCTCCACTGCTGTTGATCCTTTTCCTTACTATGCTTCTACTTGAGTGTGTGTGCATGTGTGTGTGCCCCATATGAGTTTAAATAGGTTGTTTACAGGAGCATGTGTAAAGAGTTATTTACAGGTAACTCATCAGTGGCTACAGAGCTGAAGAAAATGTCTTTCCCCAGCAGTCATTATCTGCCGATAGAGCCTCAAGGAGAGTAGGGGTTCATGGGCCCCTCCCAGCTCCTCAAGGAACACTGATAGGCTGTCTTGTGCAGGCTATCACAACTGCTAAGGGTTTAGAGTGCAACGGTCATGTCATGCCAGGAAGACAGTATTCTACAGCACTCCAGTCCTTACTCCAGGTCCTGCATCCTTTTCACCCCCTTTCTGGATGTTTCCTCAGTCTTGGAAGAAGTGATACAGACATCCTTTCTATGCTGAGTATTCAGCTGTGACGTATTCTTAGTTCTCTGATAGATTATGTGTCTCCAGATTGACGGCTTGTTATTGTTTGAACGTGCAATGTCCCTCTTAGGCTCGAGTGTTTGAGTACTTGGTCCCCAGCTGGTGGTACTGTTCGGAAAGGTTATGTCTAGAACATTTGGAGTTGGAACCTTTCTGGAGGGCGCATGTCACTGGGAGTGGTATTTCAGGATGTATAGCCTGCCTCTACTTACTGTTCTGTGGTTCCAGACTGCTAATGCACTGTGATTGGGCTGACTGCAAGCTCCCGTCATGCCTTTCTGCCCTTATGGACAGTATCTTCACCTCTGGAACTATGAGCCAAACAAACCCTTTTGCCCTTAAGTTGCTTTTGTTAGGTATTTTATTACAGCAATTAAAACTAAAGACAATTGCCCACTAGGAAAAAAAAAAAGCAAAAGCAAGCAGCTAGCAGCTTTTCTTAATCAACCTGCCAACAGAACTAATTAATCTCTTGGAGTGAGTTCTGGCACACCCGCATGGCGCTGAGCTGTGTAGTTCTCGGTTCCCTCTTGGTGCTCTCTTATCTTGGTTCAGGTTGGCTGGACTGGGTTCAGTGTGTAGGAGGGAGCAAGTGGAAGTTTTGTATTTTTACTTCCAAATGCCACCCCATTGCTTCAGAACCTTGATCAAGACCACATACAGCCAGCTGGACTATGACTGAAAAAGCATGGGATAAAACCGGACTCTCTGAACATGGCGAACAATGAGGGCTGATGAGAAGCCAAGAACAATGGCACGGGGTTTTGATCCTACTTCATGTTCTGGCTTTTTGGGAGCCTAACCAGTTTGGATGTTCACCTTCCTAGGCATGGACGGAGGGGGGAGGACCTTGGACTTTCCACAGGGCAGGGAACACTGACTGCTCTTTGGACTGGAGAGGGAGGAGGAGAGAGTGGGGGGAGGAGGAGAAAGGTGGGAGGAGAGGTAGGGAAATGGGAGGCTGGGAGGAGGGGGAAACTTTTTTTTCCTTTTCTCAATAAAAAAATAAAATAAAAAAATAAATAATAATAAATAAAAAAAAAAAGACCATATACAGCTACCTGGTATCTGGTCACAGATCAGCATCTGCTGCAGCCTGCAGACAGAATGTCGTGTTGACTACCGCTGGTGCATAACATGCACCGATGCTGTAAAGGAAGGACAGAAGCCGGAAACTGCAAATGTCTGCTAGAAAGACTTAGGGAATGGTTTTAAAGGATTTCCTGCGAAGCAATGGAAGCTAGAAAGAGCATCCCTATAGGATACGTTGGTGGAGGATTTGCCCACATTATGGATGAAGAGGAAGGGAGGGCACGGTGAAGGCATTTGCACTTGTAGCAATAAGAGTCAAGGTCTTGTATAGTGTCTGTATAAAGTGAATATAATAGCCAACAGAAACTTCTGTGCACATTCTTGAAAACATTTCTAAACATGTAAGTAGATTTTCCCAAGAATAAATCAACTACCATAATCCTAACAGGAGAATTTTGTCTTCAAAGCATAAAATTCCTATCTTTATGAGATTTAAAATGTAGAAAAAAAATTAATTCATATAGTAAGACCTTATATTTATATAGCACATTAGTTTACTAAGCAGTTTCAACCAATTTTTAAATTTTATCCAAATGAAGCTCATGGTAGAGACATGAAAAGTGTAAATCAAAGTATGCCATGGCTCAAAGCCTCAGCAATGCGCAGCAGACAAACCTTGAGCTCTTGTACAGTAACTCAGAAGCATACTCAAGTCTGCTCTCTGAGGACAGAGTTCTGTCAGAGTCTGGATGTGTGAAGGCGTCTGCTGAGGGATCCTAAACACCGGTCTCATCTACTAGAAATGCAACCTAAGTTAGGGATGCTCATGATGACCTCCCCAAAAGTTTACACTCAACTCCCAATACAAACACTAGGTAAGGACCTGAAGACATTTTACATTACTGGAAAGAGAAAACAATCATTTTCACAGAAGTACCTTTATTTGGTACTTAGTACAACACTGACTAGCCATTGGACTTTGTGGACCTGACTATTGACTAGCAACCCCACCTGTGAGCATGAGTAAATACTGGCCAAGGCATGTTGGAGTCAGTGAGTGAGATTGGCCTGACTGCCACCCTAAGGAAAACCTGAGAAGATTTCATATTTTATGAAATCAGCATTCAAAAACCTGTGTCAGATAATCTGAAATCTGGTCCCAAATTTAGTTTTTAGTTTGCTTTCCCATTATAAAATCTTGATAAATACATGAACCAAAATCAGTTTTCAATGACAAACAACTAGTAAATCTGGAATAGTACTTTAGGAAGAATTCGTTTACAGCTGGCTCAGTTAAAAACTGTTCATTTTAGTTCTATTTGGGAAAAACCCTCCACAAAATCCATTACCTAGCAATTTGCACCCACCCAGGTGCTAAACATTGTGTCCACCAGTGAACACACTGAAGCATGACGAAAGGGTCCCTCCCAACCATTCACAGGTCTCTATGAGGACTGATGAGAACGGACAGCTTGTTAGGAACTTGCAAAGTACCAATGCCAGGTGCAGCGATCCTGCCTCAAACTGGGCCTCGCCCGAGCTAAGCTCCTCTACCCCAGAGCTACAGCCCTGCATCCCCAGCACTAGACCCTACACGACACTTTTCCTAGCACTTCATGACAGGATACTTAGCTTTTAGCTCCCCCACGTTAGTGATACTTGCCTGACGTGCTTGGAAGGCTAAAACTGAAGAGGTCAAGAATGATTTTTACCAGAGGCTTGGCCAACATTTCCCTTAACTTTCAGAAATATCGTTACACTTCCTTCCTGAGTTCTATAATTCACATGAATCACAAGATAGGAATTTTGTGAAAACAATGAAGTTACACACAACATACACTCTCTCTCTCATGGTTACCCTGCCCCCACTCCCACATATATCATACAAATAAAATAACTACTCTACCTTACCACTGACACAGCCTAAAATGAAACATGTCCAAGGCAGATATGAAACTTTCAGGCATTTTCCTGAGAAAATGTGGAGCATTTAATACTTCCCAACGTCCCACTTCATTCCTAGTATAATGGAGACTGTAGACATTACTCTGTGAAAATTAATTTAATCACTACTTAGTAATCTCTTACTCTAGTCGCATCAGTGTACTAGATGGGCGTCAATGGGGAAAAAAGACAGTGAACACAAATATAAATGTTTCATATGCATCAGATGAGGTAGTAATCATTTAGAAGCAGATATCCAGAATCAAGAGGCCGACTGTATTTGACCAAGTTGTAAGAACTTGAAGGGTGATGAGAAGCCAGCTGTAGGCCATGCTCTCTGGACTCTTCAAAGGCTCAGACATCACAGCGGCAATCTCATTTGTTAATGGCTTTGTACTCACGTGTCTTCAGAATCTTTACTGAGCTCATCTTCAAGCTCCTCTATCTCCAGACTGTCCTGATGAACATCTCCTACAGTGGGAACGTCCATCAGGGTTCTGAACAGCTTGGAAAGATCTGGGAGTGAGCATGTCCTCAGCATCTACAAAGAGGGTGACAGATTGCTTATTAGGAGGAAGAGAATTAAAAGCAGAAGGACAAAAATCAGAGATAATACAATATTTAAATTATGTATTTAGATTTAAAGGATTCAAAGGTGACTTGCCTGAGGTTAGAAACTAATTTTCTTAAAATATGGCTCATATAAATAATACTAAATGAACTCAAATACACATATGTATCTGTGTGTGCCAATAATAATAATAAAGAGATCATGAGTTTGGGAGGATGTGGGAGTACACAGAAGGAGCTGGAGAGGGATGGAGGGATGGCAATGATGCAAATTCATAAGAAATTGTCAAAAAATTTTAGATTAAAAATTCAGCTTTAGATTATTTTTACAAAGAAAACTAAACTTGTAAGTAATGACTGGGCTTTAGCACAGAAATCGTGCCGGTCACCTTTTAGAGTGAGAGTGGTTTCTGCAGAGACACACATGGCCTGGAAAAGTAAGTCTGCTGGGAATCAGGCGGTGTGAGACATGCCCACTTGTTCTCTCTCACCCATCCTGTAGTTCGCCCACCTTACCGGGTCAACTCTCCCTGTGCAGACTTGCTGAAAGCAGAAGAGAATTGTCTGGACTGTGCTGAGCCACTATCATGTACAATCGGAAACCTGCGCACCACTTGCTCTTAGGAGCTGCTGCTAGCTATGTGGTTTGTTAAACCAGGGACCTTCCATCAGTGTAAAGACAACCCTGACTACATCCCCCAGAACAGGGCTGATTGGGGTCAAAGAGACGGCTGTAAGGACAAGCTCTGAGTCATTTATAACAACACTGAGAAGGAACTCAGCCAACTGTGCTAAGAAAAATCACACACAGTGTAGGTGTTGACATTTCGATCAGTGTTGGGCAAGAGCAGGAATACCAGGAAGAGTCTCTACTAGCCAGCCTTTCAACAATGAGAATGTGACAGTCAGGACACGAGACAAGTAACTGTAAACACAAGTTCCTAGAGGAATCTGACAGTGGAATCTGAGTACCAGGCCCTGAAAATAACGAGGTGTTAGAGGGAAGGCTTTGAAGAAAACGCAGTGCTTAACGTATTAATGGAAATTTGCATATCTGGTCAATCTTATTAGTGCAACCTTTTCAGAATAACAAAGGATATGTTCCTATTATTTGGACATAGTTCATATATTAAAGCATTTAAGGAAAATGGTTATCAGTTACAAACCGGTAAAACTGGCAAAAATGGTTAATAACAACAAAAACAACAAAACAAACCCCACTTGCTAGAGCACTGAGTGACATCAGCGGTGCTGCTGAGGCACCTCTCCCAGTGCTGAGGCTGGCTGCATCTCACCCACATGCAGCTTCCGACTTCCTGAGATTTGGGATATATAAATAGATATACGTATTATATACATACATATATATATATATGTGTGTGTGTGTGTGTGTATATATATATATGTATATATATATATATATATTAAGCCAGAAGATATAAAGTAGGCATCTTGCAATTGATTGCTAATCAACACAAATGAACAGAATAAATTAATTATATACTTATACTTGAGAATGCCATACATATATTTAGGCTGAGAAAACTTTAGCTTATCCAAAGAAATACATCTCAATTTTAGTTTATACCTTTCAGTAGTTAAAATACCTCCCCAATACTTAGCCCAGGATGTAATCCTTCTGCTTCTGTTGGCCAAATTCTACAGTTCCATGTATGTGCCACTACGCATATTAATATAACTTTATATCCTATCATGAAATAATTCCATCAGGACAGTATTTCAAGGGGCCATGTAACTTGACACCTTAGCTCTTCTCAAGGATAATACTCATTTCCTGGTGTATTTGTAGGACACACCTTTGTGTCGACAGAACTCCTTGTAGGCCTCCTTCACACTGCATGCATCTGTGGAGATGCTGTCTGGGCTGGGCTGAAGTTAACAGTCTTCCTGCCTTGCCCTCTGCAGCACGTGGGATTGCAGTTACGTGCTGCCACTGCAGTCTGGCTTTTAAGTTTTAAATGGATCTTCATCTTTCTCCGCAGGAAAAACATTATATCAGAACATTTCTGTTCTCATCTGCTGGTGCTAAGGCTGTTAGCACATTAAACCCAGATTAAACCCCTGAGGTATAGTCCTAGATCCCTTCATTTTTCTGTTTTGATTCTCTTGGCTTTTTTATGTTGCTTACAGTATATTCTATTGTCTTAGCTCCAATGGAAAGAAATCCTAAACAGACAGGTGATTCAAAGCACTGCTTGAGCGCTTACTTCAGGTATGGATTTCCCCTCAACTCTTCATACCAGAGTGCATTTGGCACTGTGATAAATTTAAACAAGAGCAAGGCTTTAGGGAAGCTTACATTTCAAACGCTACGTTTTCTTCAGTTTTAGTATTAATTAGCTTTTTCCCCATAAAAATAAGGGAATCACATAAAGCAGTGAATGAATTAAGTGTCAGTGTTACTACTGACTGCACATCAAATTCTACATCAAAGAATTCTTTTAATCCTTTTAAGTTTTAATATAAACTATGAGTTAGTAATCCTCTAGCTATACTATATAGTAGTTTGCTTTGGGGGCATTTTGTTCAGCCTCTGATTACTACCATAAATACTCAACATTGTTTCCTCAGGAACCTTTATTTTTTATAAATAACTGCTGACTTTATTAAAAGAGATGTTTATTATTTAAAAATGGATTTCAAAGTAAAAGATTGACATGTACTCAGGAAAAAGCAGGTCTAACTTAGAGTGTCTTGAAGCTGGAGCTCAAACGGATGAAGCTCATGCTGCATAACCTACGGCTGATTCGAGGGCTGCTCACTGCGGTAGAACCAGACACTTCTAGCTGTACCAGAAAGAGAACCGGTGCTGTGGATGTCATCTGGCTGACTCTTGTGCCTTCTCTCTCTCCCCCAGTCTCTCTCTTGCAATCTTAAGGCTGAGAATTTGAAAAGGAGTTAAGACATAGTTGCCTACTGCACTCCTTTTGTTCTCATGGAATGAATTAACCCTGAAAACATTAGTAATTTAGGGAGGAAATACACCAATAATTTTCCTTAACAGTCATTACAAATACAAAGTTTAGGTTTTTCTCTCTACAAGTTCTTGTAGGCATTGCTGCGATATGAAAGCAGGATTCTTGGGTGAAAACCTCTGGGGAATAGCTCTGGTACCTACTGGCTACAGGAGTTCACTATATGACTGTGGACAAGTTGCTCTTGTGTATGGGTGACAACAGGATTGTGAGCATGAGATTGTTATGCTACCGTTGCTGAAACAACACGGAGGAGACTGCACACATGGTTGGCAAAGTTGATTATCCTATATGGATAATTAGTATTATACATTTATTAGCCATCTTCGTAAAATCAAAGTAGGCTGAATTACTCAAGAGATAATGGAAACGGGCTGTTTTCTAATCCTAAATATGCATTTGCTTGAATTTTAGTGAGTTAGACTGTTCTAGTAACAACAGAAAATTAAGAATACTCCATATTACTCCAAAAATATAATCTTTCCCCCCACAAACTAGGCAAGGACAAGATCGTAACTGGTACTTCATTCTGTCAGAGAGCAAAGAACAAAACTGTACTAGCTGCCCCGTCACAGTCTAACTGGATGCTGCCCACTAAAGCTCTTTAGTTGTCTCTCTGTTTGCAATTGTGTGTGACAAAGCATTCATAACAACAGCTTATCATAAAGGCATCGAGACTCACACCTGACGCTCTCTGGAAGCACTGCTACTATTTCGAATAGCAAAGGAGGAGACATAAAGTGATTCAAACAGCCCAGGAAACGGCCAGGCCAAGTGTGCATGCCAAAAGTATATCTTTCTCAACTCTGTCCAGACACATGGCTACTCTGTGCCTCAAATACTCCATATTGAAGAATTTTTTAGAATGAATACTCTACCGGTAGAACACAAAATTCTATAAAGAAGTTTGACTAGAAATTCCTCCACCTTCAACAAAGTGACTAGTTACTTGTCCAGGCTAGAGTCTTGGTGAAATTAGTTCATCTCTATCCAAGTATTAACCTTACCATCTCCTTACTTGCTATCTGAGTCAACCACCCACATATCTATGCCCTTGCCGGACACCACAGGCGTAACCACTGTTGTGAGCCACACTGTAAAATGGGCCTGTTAGAAAAGCAAGGGCTTTGTTCCTCTGATAATCCAGCAAGATCCTGAGGAAAGTGTAACTTTATTTAGACTTTCTGAAATTTACTGTTGAGACTATCCATTTACTGTTATACCCACATGTTTAAAACCAATCCACTGAACTTAATTACCTTAGGAAATGTGCTTCTCTGTTTGCAGAAGAAACAGACGTGAAGCCATCACTTACTCCTAAATCTAAAGGAGGCAGCAGCTGTGCTGACGCACACCTGTCCTCGGCAAGCACAGACAGACAAGTAGAAAGCTTGCAGCCTGGGTGGAAAATGAGTCCCGTACAAAGAAACCTCCAGAAGAGAAATCTTTCCAGAGCCAAAACCAGGAAAAGCTTCCCCTAAACACTCATATTTCCTAGCCTCAGAAATGCAGCACAGTTTATAACTCTCATTTCACTTTAACTATGACATAGATAAATCTTTTACTTAATGTTAGCGACTACTGTAGCAGTTGCTAATGGCTCGCTGATGGATAATACACAGTCTTAACCACAATTTATGTACTTGGGTATAGTCTTCAACTTGTCTGGACCACTGTATAAGGAAATAGTGTGAAAGGCAGAATAGACTTGTGCTTGCTTCAGCCATCACTTACATCCTCACTGATGGACAATGGCCATCAAAGTATTACTCTCCTTACCTGACCTGTCTTACAGTGATCAACTAAATCACTAATTACTATCCGTGTGTGTGCATAACTGTACAATTCAGTTAACTAATACTACATTTGGGCTTTGCAAAACAACCTATTTAAAGTACATTCGATGTATGCCTTAGCCTTAGTATTTCCTGACTCTTAGGCTTCTGAAGATATGTCTATTAAACTGTGCGGCAGA